GCACAAAGAGAAAGCAAAGAAGCACTAGAGAATGAAAGGAATTCAAGAAAACCCCCACCCTACAAGCATATTAAAGTGAGTTGCCTCTCTCCTGTATGAACAAGCTACGTAGCTGCATGTGGGGAAGCGACTTGTACTAACTCTGGCTTAGAAGATAGTTTAAATAATTACGTTGCTGTTCTCAGGACTCTCAAGTGCTCTGCCTCATCGAGCACCATACAAAGGGTGTGCCTTTGCAATGAGAGGGCTGGAAGCATCAGTAAATTGGTTGTAGAGTTAAAGGTCACTCCTGTTTAAGATAAGTGTTTTGACAATTGCAAGTAGATCTCACTTATCTTTAAATGAATCTTGGGTCTCATTTCCTGTTAGGAAAATACCTTAGCATTGAACAGCACTGGAAATGACAAAATATCGGTGTGAAAACTTAGACTTCCCAACCACTGGAAAAGATTTTTGCTAGTGGTTTTGGGTGCACAATGCCCCAGGTTGTGCACTTTAATCTGTTTTTAAGTTAACTTTCTAATATACATCCTTAGAGTAGTAAGAGCATTTTTCTGTGCATTGTAAGAGTTATAGTGTCAGTAACAGTACTACACAGACCTCCTGCTGTCAGTTCAAAATCATCAGTTCTGTCGTCTTTTCTTCACCGCGCACCTTGTTGCCGGCCTTTTCTGAACAGCATAGATCCTTGATTTAAGTTGGTGGAATAATACCAGATGTGGTCTGAGGGTCCTTGCACTTTGTCTGTTTTCACATTGCAGGGAAGTATTATTGCCACATTTGCTTTCTTTTGACAGGGTTAGGAAAAAATGAAAAAATAAAACTCAGCTTGTCGGTTGCTGAGTGTATGGTATTTGTTTTGCCTTCCCTCCCTCTTGAAATACCTTGGCTGTGGTGGGCCTTAAATCAAGTGGTTCTCATCCTAAACTCTGTACACTCTGCCTTAAATCCAAGTTTATTCCTTGTGTCTTTTCTTTGTTATTTCCCACAGTCAAACAAAGTAATAGGGAAGGTTCAGATTCAAGTTGCTGATTTGTCAGAAATCCCTCGCTGTAACTGCAAGCCGTCTGATGAAAACCCCTGTGGTCTAGAGTCAGAATGCCTGAACAGGATGCTGCAGTACGAGTGCCATCCCCAAGTTTGCCCAGCAGGAGAGCGCTGTCAGAACCAGTGCTTCACCAAAAGACTCTATCCAGAAGCTGAAATCATCAAAACCGATCGCCGTGGCTGGGGTCTCAGGACAAAAAGGAACATTAAAAAGGTAGAATTTGGGACACGTGCTGAGTTAACAACTGTTGGTGAGAGAGAGATAACGTGCGAGGAGCATGCTGTTAATCTTTTATGGCTTGTACCTTAAGAGAGCGTGTACTGCATTTTCCTACAGACAAGTGCATCTTTAGATTTACAAGGTGAATCTTCCTCTGTAATAACAAATCTGACCTCACGGAATGTAAGGCATCTTGGAGGAAGTGTCTTTCTATTGTTACGACATTATCTCTTTGAAAAGGGGGTCAGCATCAGTTGTTCATAAATTCCTTTGCATGGGCTTGAGATGAGGACTGTCAATAACACTTCTAGGAGAAAATGGTGTACCTGAGGGTTTTTCAGTGATTTCTGGGCATAGAGAAGAGGGGGGGGATGCTCTCCAAAAATAATTTGAAGTGGTTTGAGCCCCTCCTAACAACCTCTTGACTGAAAATGAAAAAATCTTAGTGGGATGGAGATAAAACATGCATATTTTATTTTGTTTGGGTTGGCTGGTTGGTTTGTTTTCCTTACCCCTGTTACTAATATGGCAAATAGAAATAATGACGTGATACAAAATAGCACAGAGGACTGGAGGTAGGGCTGCCTGAGATAGCGAGCCTCATTGCAAGAGGTTGTTTTTAAGTAGCTTTCAGCATGTGCCTTCGCTTTTCATGTTAAGCCACTTCCCAAGAAAATGCTCGCTGCAGTTCCCAGTAGCCAGTTATCTGACGTGGGAACGGGAGGGGGTACTGTGTTGCTCTTAGAAACATCTGGGAAGGATGCTGTGCTTCACCCTCTTTGGCACTCAACTCTTCAGACTGGAATTATTTCGGAAGAAATTGGAGCTTTATTAAAGGGCTTGAGGTGATCAGGAAACCCTGGACAACACACTTAAGTTCTTAAAGTTCAAGAAGGCAGAGAAGTATAATGAAGATGCAGAGATTTCTGTTCATTCCAATGTTGTTAGTAAAAGCAAGAATGACTGATTAACTAAAGGATTGCTGTGGACTTTGACAGGAATATGAAAGTGGTTGGAACCCTTAAAGAAATGGCAATGGGTTGAGGGCAGGGTGATGCAGGGGAGTGGGAGCATCTTTCCGGACTGTCCTAATAGTCCTGAAAATGGATCATTTTGGTTTTCCTTTACACTGTGTCACTGCACACTATTCCTGAGAGTGCCAGTCTGGGATTAACCCGGGTGGAATGTGTGACAGTTGATATGGAAAAACCAGAGCTTGCACTTGCCTATCCGAGTCCATTTTTCAAAGTGTGGGAATCTTCTTCTAACTGGATTGCAGTCTTGCTGTACTTCGAGGCAAGCGTGAGGATGATGGGCCTGGATTTCACAGCTGCTTTAACTTGCCAGGCAGAGGAGTGGATCTGATGGACAGATGTATGTTTTGCTCTTACTCATGCAGGCTTCGTTGTTTCTGAACAAGGAGGCGGCTGAGCACACCTGAAGCACAGAAGATCTGGCTCTGGCTACAGATGAAGTGGGCATTTAAGACTTCAGGACCAGTTGTTGTTTTTATCCGTTGACCTGGATCCCCAGAGTTTGCTCGGGAGCACTGTTTTGCTCTTGATTGGCTCCGTGTTTTCTTCTCTTTACTTGCTCCCATCCTACTAAAGAATCAATCCTGGAACTTCTTGCTATGAAGGCACATCTCATGACTTTCATGGACTAAATTTTTATGTAAGGATTTCCACTATAAAAGGAAGCTGGCTGCTCTCCAAGCTGGGAATGTTTTGGATTGTGGCAAAAAGCAATGGATGTACTGTGTGATGGTGGACTTGGCTCAAATATAACTGGAGCTTGCAGATGAAAGCTAAGACATTCTGAATGGACTCCTTCCTGCAGTTGTGCTGCTTAAATAGGACGCATAGGATTATCCACTAGTCTTCAATACCCAGGCAGATGGGTTTGGGCAAAACAATTTTTAACTGTGAGTTTTTTGCATTTGTCAGAGTGATTTAGATAGTCTCCCTCCTGGCTTTGTCTAGTAGCATAGTGTTACTGTTGACAGCGCCTTGGTATAGGAAAAAAGGGGTGTAGGAACTGAATGATGATACAGGCATTCACTTGCCTATGGTGATGTTGGGGGTGTGCGAGCAGACAACTTAAACTAGGTTTTGATGTTGACAAATACTGCCTTGGTTATACTCACAGACTTTGGCTGCACTAGCGACGTTTCCGCTGATAGGCATTTAAATGACTTCCTGACCATAATTAGAGGAGATGCCTAGTAAATTGATGGAAAAAAATTAAGAAGATTTTAACACGCTCTAGTGTGTTTCTGTAACATGTATATACGGTAAAACTTCATATTCATAGCGTGTGTATAATAGATGTCCTGCGAATTGCCTTACTGTGCTAAATTTGAAAGCATCTTTGCATCCTTTCGTGCGCTCCTCAAAATCCAGTGGCTCCATTATAAAGCTTCTGAGGGGAGGGGACTTAATTTGATGAAGTATTCCAAAGCACACAGACTGAAACAGAAGTCATTTGGTAAGGAAAGTAGAGAGATCTCTTGTTAGATTTTCAAAAGTACCTTCATGACCTAGGAGTTGAAGTTCATTGGTTTGAAATGAGCTGTAGACTTTGAAAAGCCTAAATCAGTCTTGAAAAATGAAACTTAGGCTTCTCATGACTCGCTCTAGGTCTGGGCTATCAAATTCCATTTGGCCCCAGCGGCATGTGGCTGGCACTGTGTGCGCTGGATTGCCCCCCTCCTGCATCCAGCCTGTGGGCCACATCTTTGACCCCAGTGTTGTAGGTGTTTTGAGAACTGTGCCCTGATAACCTTATCCCCTTTTGTAGCGTAGGTTTTGTGATTTTTTTTTTTTTTTCTTTCGTTGCTCTCTTGCTTCCTCTCTTTAAAGTTCCAATTTGTGATAGCCATATTTCTTTCTGGTCAAGGAGGGCTGAACATTTCTCTCTGAAACTGGCTGGCTCCCAGAACTTAGTTTTTGTAGGCTTTTGTCACAGTGCAGTGTTCACAGGACCAGGCCTGTAACACGTTATTCTTTTAAAAAGAAAAACACATAAGCCCCTTTGTCTCTCAGTGGCTCAGATGCTCCTTGAACTCCTGACTCTGAGCCTAGCAAGGGGTTAATATTTGCATCTGAACATTAGCATCATTGACCCTCTGTGCACTGAGTATTTGCTCCCTTGTATCAAGGTGTTCTGTCCTGGCCATTTTGTATTGCATCGGGTAAAAGCCAGGAACACATTGTCAGCTTGAAGGCTTGCTTTTAACAGGTTTTTAGTGGTTTAATTATTTAATCCAGTTTTGTATAATCTGTGCCACACACACCTTGTTATCGCACACTAGTCACATTCACTATTGGCTGTTCAAAGTCCTAATAAAATAACTGTTCAAATACTATGTAGTGAAAATGTTTGGTAATAGAGTAGGTTGCTGTTGTCTAATGCTTAGGTTCTCTGGGTATCGGTGTATTAGCCCTGAAGGTGTTTTTGAAAGAAGAAAGCATGCTTCTTGAAATTATATCTGTGATTGAGTTGGCGTAACTAAAACCAGTGAATGGAGAAGCAGTTGTCCGTCTGCTTTTTGCTTGTCTCTCTTTGGGCCAAGTCACAGCCTGTATAGTTTAAGTGCCACCTGCACATACGCTTGACATTTTGCTTGTATATCGTATACTTCATATATGGTGTCTTGTGTTTTTTTTCTCTGCTGAATGTTTGAATATGTTGTTATAAAGATGTGCTCAGTTTCTCTAGATTCTCTCATACAGGGGTTTGGACATAGCTGTCCCCAACTAACTAAAAGCCAAAGCTAATTAATCCAGCGCACCCTTGGGAACGGGATAATGTTTTCTTAATTGTACTTTTAATCCCAGCTCTAGATGTAACCCTTCCCTTTTGCAAGTCAGGGTCTCCAATTGAATATAAACTTGGATGCGTATGTAGTTTTTCTATACTGGTGACCCTTACAGAGTACTTTGTGTTCATTTGTTCTCTGTATTTATAGTAGAAAGCCACCTTGCATGGGCCAGGGGACTAAGCCTGATCTACAAGGGCTTCCTGTCTCATGTATTATGCTTCTTCCTCTTACTTGTACTTAGCAAACAATAAGCCTGGGTGTCCTTGGGTTTTTTGTTTCAGGGTGAATTTGTAAATGAGTATGTTGGCGAATTAATTGATGAAGAAGAATGCAGATTGCGAATCAAACGTGCCCATGAGAACAGCGTAACCAATTTTTATATGTTAACTGTTACAAAGGTAAAGACCATAACTCTGCATAGCATAATGGTGTGTTGCTGCTTGCAAGATCGGGCTTTGAGACCTGGAGTAGTGGCTGGACCGTCGGTTCACGTTAATGCAAAAAAGTTAAATTGTAGCTACAGTGCAGCTCATTTAGTATAATGCATATAAAAGGATCCAGAAAATGAAGTCCCTTAGTCAGAGTGGATGATTCGGGGACCCCTCTTATTTGTGATCCAGTGGGGATGCCTCTGCAGGAGTGGGAAACTTGAATTTTCATGAATGAGGCTGTTTAACAAGACTCTGAGTTGTGGTGGAATTTGGGCAGTCTTTTAATGAAACACGCATAGTGATGTCGGGATGTAGCTGTTCCCTATCAGCCCCAGACACTAGCTTAGAAGATGGCTCTTTTAGGCCTCTATTGACAGAGAGGGGCAGGGAGGTGTGGGGGTTGAACTGGGCCATAGATCCCATTACCAATCCCTTCAGCTTTTTGTTTTCCCAAGCATGCATATTTAACCTGTTTAAGCTTTTTGCTGAAGGTTGCCTTCCAGGAAAAGCTCATCACTTGCAATTAATTTAGCAAGTACCTACATAAATGTATTATCTGAAATCTTAAGGTTAGATTCTTGACTTGTCAAATGCAGGCTTTTGCTTTGGTCTGAAATCTAAATATGATTTTCTCTCTCTCTAATAAAGGACCGGATAATAGATGCTGGCCCAAAGGGGAATTATTCTCGCTTTATGAACCACAGTTGTAATCCAAACTGTGAAACACAGAAGTGGACAGTGAACGGGGATATTAGAGTTGGACTCTTTGCTCTTTGTGATATTCCCGCAGGTAAAAAGCTGTCTCCATTTTGCTTGTCCCCTTCCCTGGCGGTAGCTTGCCCAAGGGGTTTTTTTGTTACTGGTGTTTTGGTTGTTCCTGAAGTTACTTGGCCATGTTGGCATTTTGAACGTGACTGTTATGCCCTGGGATGAAAATAAATCTGAATCAAGAAGCTCTACCACCTTCAGTACGGGTAACCTAGTTAGCAGTGAATCTAAAGATATGTTGCAGAGTGTTAAAGATGAAAGTGTATTACACGTAAAGCTAACGTGACCAGAGCCTTACCTGCAGCTTGAAAACCCAGGAAATTTAATGTCACCTTCTTGCTGTGACCATAGGGACTTCTTGCCTGTGGTAAAGACCCCAATTTCAGTTTATTTCCTTAACATTTATCGGGTGTGGAACAGCTTCTGGGTTCCAAATGTCTTTAACCACACTGCAACTTCAGGTGAGGTTTAAAAATAATAAAATAGGCATTATTTATGTATGATTTGTGTAGAAGTCAGAGGTAATGAGGTGTTGTCTAAAGCTGTACTGACACTTGCATGACCAAAGGAGAGGAGAGAAACTGTCCCTTTCAAAAGTGCCAAAAAGAACAGTGCGTACGTCGGCAAATGAGAACTTTTGGCACACGCTGTAAGAGGAAAGTAAAAATCTGTGACTTCAGTGGGAGTGTCTGCTCCCTAGAATAGAGAGAGGGATATTCTCTTGGTGTAAAATCCAGTATTGGACTGAAAAAAACTTAGTTCTACAACCGCAGAATCCTTTGTTTTAAAAGGGAGAGGCAGCTGAACCAAGGGCAACACTGAATGTTCGTCTTGGGATAGGGTGCTGGATCCCTCCATCTGCTTCAGTTCTTCCAGCTTCTCTGGCCATTCCTGCACGAGTGTTTCCTCTCTTAGTAGCGTTGAAGTAGATGAGATACCATGCATGATCTTGCAGTTTTGCCCTTTTCAAATACTATGGTGTCAATATGATACAGGCTAGGCAGGCAAAACATAATGAAAAGCTATTTCTTTGAGCATATCTTCTCAATGTCATGTGTGGATTGGTTTTTTTTTTTCACGTTGCAGGTATGGAGTTAACATTTAATTATAATTTGGACTGCCTGGGCAATGGGCGGACCGAATGCCACTGTGGGGCAGAAAACTGCAGTGGCTTCCTCGGAGTACGCCCAAAGGTTAGTTGTACCAGAATGGAAGTGGATGTGTACAAGCTTGTAGTGAAAAGTCCTGTGTGTGAGAGAGAGCGCAAAGAGGGATCTTTGTTACCACGCAATGTGGTAACTTCCGTCATTTTTAATATATCATTCCCAACACTCTCCAAAGTCTTTATAGATCCAAATACAGCCCCGTTGAGAACGGGCAGGAGCAGTCAACCAGCATACTACTTGGACGTGGGGTGTAATAGTCTCATTGTTCTTCGCGTGCTTGATCCTCTCTTACAAGACCTTTTTTTTTTTTTTCCTTGTCACCTGTCTTATTTCTGAATAGGAAAGTCATAATGGAATGCACAGGGGAAATCTGAAATAGGCTTGGTGATCTGGAGTCATCCTGTGCTGATGTATCTTGATCTGATCTCAGCCAGTCTACTTTACTTTATTTAAAAAAAAAAAAAAATCCTCTCAGGGAGCAGAGAGGAAACAAGTCACTGCACATGTAACTGTTGTGCAGTAGCCTTCTTGGGGGAAGGGAGTTTGTCTTTATCTATATGACCGTAGTACGATAGTATCCTGTCCTCCTTCAGTCTCTGGCCAGCACCAAAGTAAAGCTCATTAACACTACTGAACTACTACTACTACTACTACTACTACTACTACTAATCTGGCACTATTCTTCCTGTGTCAGGTATGGGTGGGAGATGGATATAGGGCTTGTTGGGGTTAAGGTGCCTGAAGATCTTAGGCTAGATTTAAGTGAGTATCAGTCAGTGAAATGACACTCCCAGGTTTACTTTTGGGCAAGTAACTTTCTCAGGCTGACCGACTGAAATCACAAATGCTGTGACCTTTCCTTCTGATTGCCAGACGGCATTTGCAACAGCAAATGAAGAGAAGGTGAAGAACGCCAAGCTGAAGCAGAAGAAACGGAAAATAAAAACTGAGCAGAAGCAGATGCATGAAGACAACTGCTTCCAGTGTGGAGATGGAGGAGAACTGGTCATGTGTGATAAAAAGGACTGTCCCAAAGCATACCACCTCCTATGCCTTAACTTGACTCAACCACCGTTTGGTAAGAGCTTTCTCGTAGTCATTTATTGATCTGTGGCTTGCTGCAAGAGCACAATCCACCCTGTGATGCTGGTCCACTCTAAATGTGGCCTGTTGGATTTTGCATTACCTGCTGTTGAAATGTGTTGGGTAGCAGTGTTTCTAAAAAGTGACAGACAACCGAAAGTGGGTGACTGGGCCTGTAATAAAGTTGCTCCTTTTCCTCTTATTTGGATCAAATTTGCTCCTTTTAGTTGATTGAGCTGAGCAGCCAGCCTGGTCATGGGCATGGTCCCCAGGTGCATGTCACATTATAACACTTAGAATCACATGGTGCTCTAAATTAGTAGTTGTGTCTACATTTTCTGTCTTGTCCTGTCATCATTCTCTTTCTTGGCATTTTGTTACTTTTGCTTGACTCCTTAAATTAAGAAGCACCTGTCAGCAGCCAGGACTCGGATTACACCGAGAAAAATTGTTTACTATTTTTAAACAAATTGTACTGGGGGAAAAAAAGTCTCCCCCTTGTTGAAACAAACAAACGGACACAAACTTTTAGAGCCTTTGTTCAAAATGATTGGAAGTTCCTGCGTCTGAGATGTGCCATTTCAGTAGAGTGAAATCTGGAAGTATTTGAAAGCTTTCCTCAAAATTACTTCCTGGCTGTGAACATAATTTTCTGCATTTGATCATCAAGAAAGCACTGGTGAAGAATTTTTTAGGAAGTTGCTTTGTGTTTTTCAGTTGGCCTCGTGGTGTTGATCACATGCAGGCAAGGGACGTGGGGTCCTGTCTGGGCCCACTGCAGATGCAGTGCAGTATGTCCCTATGAAAATGATGCTTTTTGTTTCTCAGCAGGCATCTAGTAAAGGGGAATAAAGACAGATTTGAGCTGAAGGGAGAAAATCTGTTGCTAAAGTAGGCTGTCTCAAAATAACTTCACAGAGTTGGGCATGCGGTTGTGCTCGTGCATATTGGCATATCTTGTGTTATGGTCACTGCTTGTGATTTAAATATTGCATTTTTCTCTGTGTGCTCTTCTCAGAGCTGCTTGCTCAGTTATTACTCAAACTAAGCCACTCTGTCTTTCCCAGTATAGCACAGTGCGGTTCTTTAAGGCTAAAGATCAACATGTAATACAGAGGTTGGTCAGTCCATCCAAACAGTTGCTGTGCCCAGATTCATAAAACAATGAGCGGCACCTATCAAACGTGTGCAGAAAAGTCCTTTTGCAAAGCCTGGTGCTTTAATGCTAAGGGGAGTTGGTTCTTCCTACTGCGTACAGCAGTTCTCTACTTGAAGCTCTGCGAGGCTCAGAAAAGGTGGAACAAGTTTGATCTGTGAGAGTGACAAACTTGCAGCAAGGCCACGCAGAACTGGCTTTTGGAAAGAGGCTTTATGCTTA